TTGAAACATTTTATTGGGGGCAGGGCAGCTTAACCACTCTTCTCTTTGCTTAAACAGTCTGTTCCCTTTAATCTTGCTTTGGTGAATCGTATGACCGACATCTTCAGGATCTTCACGAACCCCCCTCAGAGCACTTAGATACTCGGGATGCATCTTGGGTAAAAAGCCACTGAAATGGTTGATGAGTGGCATTTTGCTGGAAGGAGAGAGAGGGTTACTTCAAACATTTGCAGTAAATGAAAGGAGATGTGGGTTTTTTTTTGCTTTGTTAGTTTTCTCTTTGTTTCATTTCCTCTATTTACAACTTTGTGACCTTTTACATTTAGCGCACAGGGTTGCTGTCAGGTAGACGATGTATTCCAAATAAAAGAACTGCATTACATGCAAAGTGTGTACAAATAGGAGAATCCAATCTAACCTTACATCTGTCACTTCATTACAACACATGAAGCGCAGCGAGTAACAGGATGTTCACTGTCACACAGGGATGAGAGTCATTCCACAATGTTTTTCTCACAGGTTTGCTTCCCCCTGCTATGAATTATTTTTCCTAAACAACCTTTGGGACTGTTTGGGACACCTATCGATGTTCTGCAAGAGAACAATGGTCCTAAAAGTGTCCTGATATCAAAGGTTGTAACCTTTGAAGCTGATAAGATAAACGCTCCCTTCCTACGGCTGGACATCTGGACAAAGCACAGGATTAGGAGCGGACAGAGAGAGGCTGTTGTTGTTAGATCGGACCTTCCTTAGATTAACCAATGGCACAAAGTAAACAGTGCCAATTCATTGTGTGGGAGATATGGTGTATGACTCTGCATGTGTGCCACCATGTGTGTTCATATTGAGCATGCAAACTATGTGGCAAGTTGTGTTGACTCAGATTTCCTCAGGACTTCGGTAGACTTTGTGGTAAAGTTGGTGCAATGCAATTCAAAGCAAGACGCTGTGTTTCAAGGAGCAATATGTACGATATCTATTAAATATAAGTGCTGGCTTCTCTGACAACAAGTCTAGAATGGTCTGTATTTGATTTGACCAGAGGAGGTACCCCCACACAGCTGTTTAGGATGCCCCTCGGTTTGCCAGATATCAAACGAGTTATCAGGTCGCAACAGGTGTTGCAGCGATGGAAGCGGTCAAGAGAAGTGGTTCAGATAGAAGTGATTGTACCCGACCTAAAAAGCCTCTGCATGTTTCTAATAAGCTCCACGAGCAGAAACGTGCTCAAACTAGGATCAATATTGGAGATGCTTTTGAAATATAGAAAGCCCTACAAGACCTACAGACCTACAGACCTACAGACACACAGACAGACAGACAAACAGACAGACACACAGACACACAGACAGACAGGCAGACAGACACACAGACAGACAGACAAACAGACAGACACACAGACACACAGACAGACAGACAAACAGACAGACACACAGATACACAGACAGACAGGCAGACAGACACACAGACAGACAGACAAACAGACAGACACACAGACACACAGACAGACAGAGAGACAGACACACACACAGACAGACACACAGGCAGACACAGACAGACACACAGACAGAGAGACAGACACACAGACACACAGACACACAGACACACAGACAGACTCCTCTTTTTGTTCAGATCCTTAGAAGACTCTTTCTTTTCTGAATCCTGTGCAGTGTTACTAAAATACTTTGAGAGATGATGAGAACTCTCTGGGGTGAAAAAGGTATCAGAAGGATTGCCGAGGAAAAGCGAGGCACACACGTTCACCTCACAGGTTGAGAAAATAACACACTCACAGAGGAAATTCATATTCCATATTTGTGTTGCGTTGGCAGCTTAATTATGTGCTGTGTAACTGAAGTCAGTGCTGTTTTAAAATGACCTGATTGTGTTGAGCCATTTATTCTCACAAGTAATTTGCAAGTTGTTTTAATGTTTATCTCTGCTGTACGCCTAAGCTTGTGGGACCAAGGAGTCTTCTTTATTTTCCTCTGGCATGAGCTGTGTTTTGACTTTCTATCCTGTAAAATAGTTCTTATTGAGGCTGGTTAACAAAGACGCATTGCAAGGGTTGGCTGGTGTGCAGTGGGTGCAGTGATCCAGCAGTTTACTTTCTTTTAAAAGCCAGTTGCCCTTAAAACATCATCATCAATCGAAGTCGACAGTGGATCTCGTGAGACTACTCTTGAAATCAGGAAGTACATCTATATGATTCATTCATGAACTGATTGTAATAATATTCACACATTAGCTGTATTGCAAATAAGATGAATCAACTTGTGGATCAATGTTTGTGTCAGTAACATTAAAGATGTCAGTAATGTCTTTAATGTAACAGACACTTGCAGCACGGGAAGGCTCCCCTTGTGTAATGTGCTGCCGTGTAAAATTATAGGTTACAAGAGGATGGTGTGCAATGCATGAAGTGAATAAATATAAGCTCTTACAGTAGGAAGACTGTAGCACCATGCACAAACTAAAACAATACATTTATTTTTTGTGAAAGGCACATCGCTTAGATGTAACTTCAGCAAAAATGTGCAAATGCAAGTCTCCATTGAGTAAAACTGAGGCACACCGTGGGATATTTTGCTAAATTAAAACGCACTTGCTTTATATATAGAATATATTGCCAGCTGCATGGTGATATGTGATTAAAATAGCAGATATGCATCATATAGAACAGGTGATGTTATATCTCACATATTTTACAGTTTATCTTGGAAACAATTTTTGGAGGGAAATTTAGATTTAAAAATGTTGCTTAACATTTACAGAACTAAAGAGCCCTTCACAAGATGACTGAGATGATGTGATTTGCTCCTACCAACTTTAAAAAATCAAAATGGCCACCGGAGCACATAGGAAGTGGATTGTATGCAGGATTTAAAACGGGGTGATATCCATGCAAAAGCATCTTTCAATTTCCATGGTGCCCACCCAACCTATCTCCTCTACTGATATAAATCCAAATAACCAATCTCTTCAAGAAAGCATTATCAAATGCCTTAATATTCTAAATAATAATATGAATGTTTATAATCATCTTCCATCATGAGACTATTACACTATTGTCTTCATGTAAAAACATGTCTAGTCATGCCAAATCCAGACACAATCTAAATCTTGAAGAAACACTCTAAAATTCAAAACTTGTCTAAGCTGAATTTCTACATAATTGTCAGATATTGGTTTTAAGTTTCAGCAGCAATTCAGCATCTTTCTAACTCTGCAGAACTTGGGGTCCCTCGGCTTAGTACTGATGATTCAGGTTCCCTGTGAGCCCTCTCTCTCTCTGTGGCACACCTCCAGTTGGCACTCAGTGCGGGGGAGAGATCTTGTAAGAAATGTGCATACAATATATGCATATAATCCTGTGTGTGGGAGAGATGCTGCGCTTGTTATACCACTTTTTTTCCTTTAACTCGCAGAGCAGGGTGCAGAGAGACCGACACTTCCAAACGCCTCTGTAATGTGCTGCAGCACGCCGCTTGTTTGCCATCGTGTTATCTCAAGGCATGTGTCCAGAGACTTGTCGTCAGGTCGCTCTGTTTACCTTTCCACTCGACCAAAGCAGTTTACGGGAATGCCAACCACCTGCTATCGAGCATAATACCACTCAGGATGTTTGCCTGCTGCTTGTTTATCTGTGTTTGTGCAATGAGGTAGAGAAGAGGAGGTTTAAAGAACACTGAGAAACTTGTTCAGAGGAAAAGCTGAAAAGTGAAAAAAGGCTCACACTCAAAGAGATCATGTTTTAAATAAGCTTTTCTGGAGGTTTCCTGTCCAAATGAAGCAAATAAAGTTTGTTTGGGTGTTGTGGTCAGCGAGCAGGATGTTGTGACCCTCTGGGACGCCACATGTGCTGAGGTCAGTGGGGAAAGGCCGTTTTGGGCCCACAGTGCTGTCGGGTCTCCACCTTGTGGCTTGGACTCCGTCTTGCAGTGCTGAACCACTGCCTGGCACACACACACCAACTGCACACACGCATCAGAACTGAAAGTAAAATAAGGTCGGTGAAATGTGCTAAACCAAAGTGCAAACTCTGACATTATGAGTCACACACATTTCAGACATCTGATTCCTGTTTTTCTAAACTGGCAACATCAACTATGACAATCTTTTGACTCAATGTAATCTGTTTCTTGACTTGAATCCCATCATGTAACCAAATCATCCTGACTATTTATTTTCATTTTATTGTTGCATTTTAATAACCCTTTCTCAGGCTATTAAAATTCCTAAAATAACATTTATTTTATTTTATTTAATCCTGTAACTGTTTAAAATATGGATTTTATTAGTTCCTGTTAAAAATCAACCCATGAATATACAGACGGGAGTCACTTGATTATTTAGGTACAGAAGACAGTTAAGACATGTGACAATTTTAAGGCAAGTTCTGCAGATTTAAGGCGCTCCATTTTCCACAGTACACCTACGCTTTAACAGGCTCTGCAGCACAAGAGCTGATGATAAAGCTGAGTGAGGCGATGGTGTAAGAGGGAGCAGACGTCCTGTGTGGAGAGTTATAAGCTCTGGGGTCATGGGGTCAGGAGTGAAACCTGACATCACCTCTCCAGTATGCAGAGCGAAAACACATGTCTGCAAAGCCCCGGCAATAACGGGTAATTTATGGGTGTTAGAGTGGACTTAACCTCTGTGTGTCTTCGATAAAAACCAACACTGTGAGATATGGAGTTGCTCTCAACACTTCTTATGTCATCCTTGATTAACTGAGAGCTTGGCACCTCTCCAGAAAGGCAGAGGACTGTAATTTTATGGACACTTTAAGGAGTTTACTGTGTATAAATTACAATTTTGTTTTAAAATGAAATACAAGCATTCTTTTCTTAAAGGTGTGACAACTTTGTAAGTAAATCAGGGTGTTTGCTTTTACTTGTAGCCAATATGTGCAGCCGCTGGTTTAGCTATTTTCAAGCATGTCATTTCAAGTCCTGGCTGCTCTGTTAGCCTCTTAATGACATGGTTCAAGACTGTGTGAGCCACATGAGCACGACTGAGAAGGAGAAGAAGAAGAGAGAAAAAAAAAACTGTCCAACCCCTCAGAAGATTTCCTGTTTCAGGAAAAGTACACACATACTGTGAGTCATATAGGGCAAGTCCTGCCTGGTGTGTTTACTCTGCTCCTTCTTACTCGGAGCTGTGAGGGAGTTCAGAGGAGCAACAGGCGGGCACAAGAAGTCTGGATGTCTACTCCTTTAAACCTATTCGTTTAATTCATGAGAGAGAAAGGAGCATACAGTCCGTTTCGAAATGGATCTACTTCGGTTTTCCGCTTTCTGGTGTGGAATGATACTCTTTGCTAGTCTTCTGCTGGAGGAAACGGGTGAGTTGAACTTTTAGAAAAGTTGCCAAAGCTGCAACGCGGCTGCGTCTCATTACAGCTGCGACGTGACTGTTACTTTCTGGAGAGTCTGTTAATCGTTAGCTTGTTACAAATTGACAAATTGCTTCCTCTTTGAGGACATTATAGGTTATTATGTTATTTACTTTTAACATGAACGTTTTAAACCTTTCTAAAGTCAACTTACAGCACAAATTAAACCAAATGGCACAAATAAAGTGCCATATTAGCATGTCATAAACAAGTGCGCAGGTTATTAGCCTTGAAGTCACTCAGGAGCCTTTGGGTTGTTTGCTAGCACAATTCCTGTCTCCCTGTAGTGTTCTTTAACTTCTGCTTACCTGCTTATTGTTAATGCTACATTAGCTCGGAGGAGGCCATCACCTGTCCTTACTAAAGCCCACCACATAGCTCCATCTTTGATGTACACCCGCATTGCTAACAGGTCTACAGCAGCCCCCCCTTTGGAGTACACTGTTTTACATTCATGTATCTCAGACTCAGTCCCAGAGGCACCAAGTGGCTTTGGCTGCTCCTAATCCTCTTTCCCCCACTTCTCTGCAATTATATCTAGCCCTGGGTGACAATTACTACCATTCATCCCCTCCACAGCACCGCCTCTTGGGTTGAAATGACATGCTCTTTCAGAGGATTGTTCTAATGATAGAATTACTCCAGGTCCACCACCTTCCCACTCAGTTCTGTGCTATCTATCCCCCTCAGTGCTGATTAACTTCAAACGCTCACCAACAGTTTTAAAGCGCTCTTTCGGGTGGTTTAGGCCGGAGTTCTAGTGTCATAATTTGATGTTATTGTTTGTGAGAGTTCTTCCAGGAAGTACAATATCCTACTAGGTTGTTATTACAATGATGGGAATTTCAGATCCTTTTTAGGGAGCGGAGCTTCTGGCTCCCAAACCACTCATTCATTTATTATCCCCAATTTATCACACTACACGACTGTGTGCACATATCACTCAAATTGTGGACCTTCTTATTTCTTGAAAAAGGGTAGTTTTACCTTGCATTTGTTGAGACAAACTTGGATAAGGAAGCTGATCGGTCTAAGTTTTGTATGTCTGAGGCCGTTAAAAGATACAAAAGCCTCACATGCTCGACTCTTTTTGTTGTTGCCGTTGTTTGACGTGTTTTAATTTTATTTAAGGCACATTTTATGGGAAAGTTAGATTTTTTCTTTCTTGTATTATTTAACAATGATATAGAGAAAGGATATACACACATGAGCCTGCTTCCCTTCAAGGAGCCGTTTCAAAGAGCAGACTTGTTTGTGAGAAACTCGTCCTCACTATCTCTTTCTGGATCGGACTAAATGGCAGCAGGGGCGGGATGCTTTCAACACTTAGTACTTCCTACTACCCTTCAGTTGTTGCTCTTTCACTTCTGCTGCTACAAGCTGCAGGTCTACCTCCACCCGGCAGATTGGTTGGATTTACACAGAGGTCTTTTTGTGTAGCGGTTAAGAGCACACACACACACACACCCAGCACCTTTTCCTTAAGTCAGTATGCAGTAAGTGGTGAGCACACTTCTTCACCGACGAGAAGTCTTACTTTACACTTCCCTCTCTGAAATATCTCACTTTGTGATCATGTGATCAAAGACACAGCCAGTGCCATTTTTAGAAAACCAGCTCTTCAGATACATCACACATATTTATTTGCAGTACTTCTTATGCCTGTGATCTTTTAACTACAGTTAATTTCTCTCCCAGCTGTGTTCTCAGCTTGTGTTTTCTGATGCAAGGTTCAGCTTCCTGTGCACGTGGAGCATACATTAGTTGGTTTATGTGGGTTTGCTGAAGCAAAACTGTCACATGTTTTTTTCGTTTCCTGTTTTGTTGTCTGGTCTCTCGTACCCCAACGTGAACTCTAAAACATCTTGAAGGAGTAGCGTCTTCAGTATTCTCTCGATACAATCACTGCGACCGGCCTAACTGGTTCTTAAATGTGCCTCTTGAGTCTTCTTTGTGTACACATGTACAAACGCATCACAGTAACGTGGAGTTGAATGTAAGAAACATTCTTTCCTGATGACGCCTCGACCTCTTGTGCTAGATTGATCCTGGGAAATCTGGAGGATCCTCTTTTAGGATCATTTCCAGCTCCAGGCCATTAATGTGGTAGGGAGGGACTCTAATTTAGGAAAAGGAAAGTTTGAGAGGAGTATAGGGATTATGTAGCTTCCTTAGTGCTCCATCTGTCCTCTCACAAACAGGATGATTTGTTTCATTATCAGCCTCTCAGTCCAAGGACACGATACAAGCACTCAACAACATGTAAACACAGGTACACACATTTATCCGCACAAGCAAAGACACTGTCTCCTGTTTTTTTTTGTCTCCTTTTTTCCGATACTTATGAACAACCATAGCACAACACCTTTCAAATGAGGAGCTAAATCATCGGCGTGACAAATCAGAGACTCCTCAGCGAGGGGGGATGCATTCGCTTCTCCTTTGTTTGTTGTTCTTGCCTGTCTGCCAGTTGTCTCCCTAGATGATTATCAAACCCACAGGCACTCATCACACAATCCAGTCTGTCTCACTGATATGGGTCTGCCTGCCTGCCTGCCTGCCTGCCGGCAAAGTCAAGTCTGAACAAGACCAAAGGAGGTGGATGCCACTGTGTGCTGCTCTTATTGTTCAGACTTTACAGAGGAGAAAAATCTGTCCTGCCCTCTAGGATAAAATAGTTTGGATTTTTCTTGTGGCTTGTTGAAAAATATGCTTTTTCTTATTGAAACATTCCAAAAGACTCCCTCCCTTTAATTAAAATGTCCGATTTTCTTTCATACGAATATACAGTTATTAATCATCATTTTAAGGTAGTTTTTAAAATGCTGCTGAGTCAAGCCAATTAAATAAGAAGAATATATAGACTCCACATGAGAAGTGGAGTTTAGTTTTCAGATTCTAAATTTTTCTATTTCTATTAATATTTTTCTATAAATTCTATTATAACTGCCTTTCTTTTAATGACCAGCAGGGGCTCACTACACTGCTAGCTTAAAGATGTTTGATTGTATAGAACAAGATAAGAAAATGATCCCATTTCTCTGCTGATTTTTGTAACCACAACAAACTTTTTCCTGTTGACTTTATGGTCTCATTATTTACTTTCAAATCATTTTACACAGAATGAATTTCAATCAGGAAATGATGGTCCAATTCAGAGTGAAATGGATGAGAAGAATCAGGGTAATCGATCTGCAATGGAAACCTGTGACTGAAAAGTAACAACGGTGATGTGTCAACCAGGAAAGAGATGTAAAGAACTGATCCCAGTATTGTCCAATCACGGTCACTTACAGTCACTCACAAAACAAAAAGAAACAAGATGCCGTAACAGAAGGCCCAACTCAAGGCTACAAAAGTCCACTCATGTTATACAGTCTTTAACGAAACACATTTATTTTGAACATATCTCACCGTCTTCCCTTTCATTTTCTTTTCCTAGAATCCAGTATCATGAAGGTGAGAAGGCTGTGCAAGTTCTGTGACGTGCGGGAAACCGACTGCACGGGCAAAGGGAGGTGCGAGGTGGGCTGTGGCATCACATCCATTTGCCCTAATGATGAAGATGTGTGTGTCAGTATCTGGTGAGTTTCATGATGATTAATATTTCTGAATGTGTCGTTCACTTAGTTCATACTAAGTGAACTAAGTGAGTTCATGAATCGTTTCCTCTCAGATGTTAAAATGTCTTCCTTGGTGTGTGAACACTCTGTCAGTCAGTCCTCTTGTAGAGACAGTTAGCTGGATAATGACAGCAGCACGTGAGTACCCTAACCCCCCATCAGCATTGAATCTGACTTTCATTGTGAGAAGCAGCAGGAAGCAGATTTGTGTTTGTGTTAAAAGCTTAAGGCCGTGCTGCTGTTTCTCATTACATTAGCGTGGTTGCAGGCATGTTATGAGCTGAGGTCAGCAGAAAGGTACCGGCTCATGGACAGCAGTACCTCTTTAAAATGTTTCTCACATCCCCGCTCAGCAGGGGAGTGAATTTTAAATATGTATATTTGTGCAGTTTCAGGGTTTTCCTTGTTTCCTGTTTGTACTGGTGTTTGAAAATCTTGCTGTTTGCAAATGTGACCTCTGTATTCAATCATTTACATACTGCTGAGACTATAGACTGCTGAAGGAGACAAATTTGACTTTTACAGTTCCCACTTTATCACCGTACGACTGAAAAGTGCTTTATTTGCACAACTGTTGACGTGCAAACATTTCCTTGATACATTATAACATGGATCTCCCAAAAAAAAAAGCTGAATTTACACCAAAACTGTATAAATCAAAGTCAATCTAGTAAAGCAGCGTTTTCTATGTGTGTTTTGTCTTGTCAAGGAGGAAGAAGGATGACAACGTCACCTTTGATACGGTCTGCCACAGCCCGTCACAGAAGCTGTACGGCCTGGTCCTGGAGGATTACAACAACAGCAAGTGTGAGATGAAAGAAAGAAAGGGCATGGGCTCACAGTTCTTTATCTGCTCCTGCTCCGAGGACGAGTGCAATGAACACATCTTCTTTTACTCCCGTGAGTTAAGACACTTTCACTTTCTTTATCTTGTGTTTTCAACAACTCTTGAACTTTGAAGGGAGTTTCTTCAACAGAGGTTTTTGCTAACTGTGCCTTTAAAAAATGATATAAAAGTCATCTGTAGGATGCATCTACCATGCACAGGAAATACCACATGTTCATAAATGTATGATAACATGCAATCACAATAAACCCTCATCAACAGCTAGTTAGTTACAGTAGCTTTGCATCAAGACCAGAGTTCATGATTTTATGTGCAGATAGCTTGCACTGTTGGAGGTTATTAAAGTCTACCTACAACAGACAAAAACAGCTGATAATACAGCTGACTCTGTTCCAAGTCTGGTTAACGGTTTCCCTCTGTTAACAGTCTGTATGCAAAGCTAAATGAAGCTCAAATGTTCCTTACTGTGACCAAAAGAGTGGTATCAGTCTTTTCATCTTAAAAGAGCAGAAAGGTCAATTTAACAACAGTTTATTATATTCACTCTCTGTTCAAATAGTACAGTAATAATGTTTAATTTCTCATTGCTTCACACATCTGTCCAACATAACATACGTCATAGTCACAGAGTAGACCTAATATTATTATGCCACCTTCTATCAGCTTGTCGTGTAAGGCATCATGCATGAACACATGTTCTCTATACAGTAAGCCTCTCCAGATACCTGATTACAAACAGGTTTGGGAAACATTGACTTGTATAATCCAGTTACAACTTTGGCCCTGGTATCAGATTTTATTTTGACTACAGCATCCAGGCAATAATAACACTGAGGTACATGTCCGCGACCTGGCTCTGCACTGAGAGCCAAATTGAAAGCATCTGCACAGTGCAAAGCACCACGTAATGGAAATACATCGTCTTGCTGCTGAGAATGTCTGTGCACTCTCTTTGACTTCTCAGGAACTAACATGAGACAGGGTTGTAATGACGGTGCTTCAATAGGAATAACAAATGTGAGACAACAATACCAGTAAATCTTGGAAGAATTTCTCTCTCTCGCTAGTGACCGGGTGCGTCATTGTAGCTCGAAGCATTGCTCTGATTAAGCTCCTTTTCCCATAACTGAAGGATGAATTTAAGACACTGGGAAAAAAAATAACCCCAAAGTTTTTTCACATGTAGGCTCATGGTGCTTTTAAGTGTTTAAGAAATCTTTTGCACTGGAAAAAAGGAAGTTAAAGGGACTGAACCTGAACAAGTTTGTCATACCAGGTCAATCAGCAAAAAAACAACTCTATAAAATGTATCAATTAATAATTTAGTTTAATACATTTAAATAATGTTCATCAGCATACTTGCTATATCTGTCCCTTCATATAATAAGAGATGAGATGAGATGAGATTCAACTTTATTGCCATTACACATATACAAGTATAGAGTAACGAAATGAGGTTTGGCATCTCACCAGAAGTGCAAATAAGCAGAAAGTGCAAGAGTCTGTGCTATGTACAGTAATTGAGTGCAAGAGTCTGTGCTATGTACAGTAATTCTGTGCTATGTACAGTAATTACAAAATTTACAGATGTAGACAAAAAAGTGAATTATTAGGTAAATCTGGATGGCTGGATTAATGGGATGCAATAAATATAAATAAATGCTATAAATAAGTAATGCTACAAAATAAGTGTATTCTTAGGATTATAATATACAGATTAAGATGCAGTGAGCATGCTATACTAGTTTACAGATAATATAAAGAATATGGACATAATATGAACATACTATAATACAATAATACAGATGGATGAGAGATATGTATGTGTGACCAGGAGGAGTGGTGGGGGGATGATGGGTGTGAGGTGATATGCAGGGGAAAGGGGGGGGGGGGGGGGGGGGGTCAGCAGGGTGCGGAGAGAGAGAGGGAGAGAGAGAGAGAGACAGAGTTCAGAGTTCGGGGTGTGAGGTGATATGGAGGGGAAAGGGGGGTCAGCAGGGTGCGGAGAGAGAGAGGGAGAGAGAGAGAGAGACAGAATACAGAGTTCGGGGTGTGAGGTGATATGGAGGGGAAAGGGGGGTCAGAGAGAGAGAGAGACAGAGTTCAGAGTTCGGGGGGTAGAGTTCAGTAGAGAAACAGCTCTGGGGAAAAAGCTGTTCCTCAGTCTGCTGGTTCTGGTCCGGAGGCTTCTGAAGCGCCTGCCGGAGGGCAGGAGGGTAAACAGTCTGTGGGCAGGGTGGGAGGAGTCTTTAAGGATGCCATGAGCTCGCCGCAGACAGCGTGTTCTTTGGACATCCTCAATGGCAGGAAGTGGCATTGAGGATGTTAAGCTAAAGCTGGTTAGTTTAGCTTAACATAAACACAGGAAGAAGAGAAAAATAGATCTCATTCTGTTCAAAGCTAATCTAATCTTTCTACAAAACTTCTTAACGTTAATTAAAGGAGCAACATGTAAGACATCTACTGAATTAAATCACAACCCAACCTTACTCCATCATCAGACATTAAGGAAACATGCTATGTTTAAGTGTTGGCTTCTCTCACAACAATACAGCAGCCAGTATGTCCTTCTTCTAAGGTGTGGAATGGTCTGTATTTAATTTGACCAGAGAAGGTTGGCCATTCTACATGACCTAAAAAGCCTCATTTTGTTTAATACTCTCCATTAACAGGAACGTGTTTAAACTAGGATAAATATTGGAAATCCTTTAAAACATGGAGAGAGGCTAAAGCTCAGAAAGGTTTCAAGACAGATTCAGAGCTGGTTAAACACTGAAGCTTCAGTGTCTGTTATGGCAACCTGCAGGCACATGGGCTCTGGGGGGGGGGGGGTTTGAATCTGGACTGCAGCCCATCAGATTTAACAGTAATTCTCATGATTATTCACAATGTTTGCAGCTCACAGAAGCCGTTCTCCCAAACATAAAATATTTCATACTCTCTAAAATGTTTGGCAAATGCTGAGCGAGTCCAGGAGGCACAGTGACAGGTTTGTTGTGAGAAATAGCTGCTCACTCCGTGAAAATAAAAACAAACCGTCTGGGGCCATGTTGAGGATTTCAGACATGTGGTTTCCTGTTTGGTATGAAGGAAAATAAAGAGAAACCAGAGGGCTTGACTGGGCAGGCACCTCCTCCTTTATCACAACTATCTCTGTTCTCACAGCAAAAAAGTACCCAAGAATGAGTTTCATGTCTTTTCTTGAGCAATATGTGTATTTCTGCTTTTAAAATATCACAATCTCACATTCTGCAATCCAAATCTTCAGCTAGGTTTTAGATGTAGAATTTCTTTTAAATTTAATAATTTAGTATTTAGTCATTTTAAAATTCTAAATGTTTGGAAAATAAGTGTTGCTCTCTCAAAAATAGATACCATATAAATTGTTAAATGAAGAAGTCATCAAACTGAGGACCACTTGAGGTTTTGTGTCTAGTAATAGCTTTTATAGTCCTTCTTTTATGACTGTAGCTTCAAAAAGTGGAGCATAAACACAGCACATGCAGAAACTATCCCTGTTTGCCAAACCCGTAGCAGCTCCCAGACACAGCATGTCTAAAATTAAAAGAATCAGACGCACTATAAAGAGAAACAATATGTGGTTGACTGGGTCAGGGTTTGGAGCACTTTGCCTTTGTGGTCCAGGCGCTAACTTTAGCTTTCAGATGCTTCTCGACATTCCACAGGGTGGGGGTCAGGTTCCCCCCACTGTTCCGAGAATATTAATTTACTCTTAACTTGATGCTGCCGATAAAAATCTGATGAGGCGGAATTTGAGTTTTTAATTTCTGTTTATTCTGGGAAGCAAACTGTTAGTGTATTTATAATCGTGGGTTAGGGTTAGGGTTAGGGGTTAACCCTAACCCTAACCCTAACCCTAACCCCAAGTGGAAAAAAAAGTGTTTTAAAATAGATTACATAACGTTCACACAAGAGACTCAACGACAAATCCTGGAGAATCGTCATCATCCCAGTTCAGTTATCATAAAACCAAAACAATTACCTGAAAGATGCTAAAATGCTAGTGGAAAGAGCAGAGTTTGCTACTGTTGACATATAAATATTTGTTTGCATGCTTTAAAGCCTCTTTTTTTTTTGCCACTAAAATGTTTTATTATTTTTTCAACAGAAAAAACATCAACAACATAACATCAGAATAATTGCCAGACATTTAGACATGTTCAATTTTAGGTCATAACCTAAGTAGTGCAGTTCATAAGGGGTCTTTAAATAGCTTCTCATCATTTACATAATGAAATAAAATTAAAATTAAATTAAAAATGAAACAATGAAAGGGAAGTAAATTACATAAAGTTGTAAGAATGAGTGGGGCAAACCACCTAGCACCTTATCTATTGATCTGGCAAATATTTTCTTTTTAAAGCCTCTTTAAAGCTGATGACATCTTCATCATCTTCATCACCTTCATCACCTTCATCCACTTTAGTTCCTTCAGATAAGGAGTCTCAGGTGGTGGCGGTCATCTTGGTGAGCCTGGTGCCTCTGCTGGTCATGGCTGTCTTTGTCATCACCTCCTTCTATTGCTACCGGGTCTACCGCCAGAGGCAGGCCAGCTCCAGACGTAAGAAGGGTCTGGACTTCAGCGACGCTCACGCCATCATGATAGACGACGAAGGCTCTGACAGCAGCTCCACGCTCGCCAACAACCTCAACCACAACACCGAGCTGCTGCCTATCGAACTGGACGTCCAGGTCGGGAAAGGACGCTTTGCAGAGGTTTACAAAGCCAAGCTGAAGCAGGGCTCCTCTGTGAGCGAGGAGCAGCGTTTCGAGACGGTGGCTGTTAAGATCTTCCAGTACGAGGAGTACGCGTCCTGGAAGAACGAGAAGGACATTTTCTCCGACGCCGATTTGAGGCACGAGAATGTGCTTCACTTCCTGACGGCAGAGGAGAGGAAGGTGCAAAGACAGTACTGGTTGATCACAGCATACCAGCCGAGAGGGAACCTCCAGGAATACTTGATCCACCATATTGTCAGCTGGCACGACCTGTGGCAGCTGGGGGCATCGCTAGCACAAGGTGTGGCGCACATCCACAGCGACCTCACGCCCTGCGGGCGCTACAAGGTGCCAATTGCTCACAGGGACATCAAGAGCTCCAACATACTGGTGAAGAGCGACCTGACCTGCTGCCTGTGTGACTTTGGCCTCGCCCTCCGCCTGGACAACACTCTGTCTGTGGATGAGTTAGCCGACAGTGGACAGGTGAAACCTTTTTATCCTTAATTCTGGGTTTTCATTTCCTTTTTCGTGTATTCCCTTTAGAGATTTTAAAAAAATAAAGAATACCCTTCTTTTGTAATTTGCACTGGCACCTCAGACACAGACCAATCGAACCCTGTGGTTTATATCTTTGAAGTTATCAGACCATGAAAAGAGCCGTGCTATCCATCAAACTTTCATTCCTGATCTCATCTCTAAATATTATTCCCTCGCTCTATCACGGCCTCTGATGGATAACAGTGCTCTTAGGTTACTCTTATATTATACTCACATAACAAACAGGCCTGATTGATTCTTAATGGACTCATTACCCTGATGTAATAGGCAAGAGTCATATTACACTGTGTTGTGAGAATGACTCATTATGAAAAGCTGTGCAGCACACCCAGTGCATTGTAATGCCTTCAATTCATTTACAGGTGAGCGTGAACTCATTTTCAAGGCTGTTATCATGTTCAGACAGGCAACTTGTTGTTGTTCTTAGAGCTACCTTTGCTTTTCCAATTATGATATACATCAAACATGGTTATAATTCAGGTAAAGTGTAATAGGACACCTCACCACAGCAGGTAAATAAGACTTTGGTAAGGACTTCTTTAGACTATATAATACTTGTGTTTACATGGAAAAAGGAAGCTCCTTAAACTGTTTAAGATGTACAAAGCAATATTATACATTCCCATTCGATTAGCACGATGTACTGTAGGAAACTGATTTTTTCCCCCTTTTTTGTTTCTTAAGGTGGGAACAGCCCGATACATGGCTCCAGAGGTGTTGGAGTCCAGAATCAACCTTGAAAACATCGAGTGTTTCAAACAGGCGGATGTTTACTCGATGGCTCTCGTGCTGTGGGAGATCATCTCCAGGTGTAGCGCAATAGGAGGTAAGACATGATCGAAAAACGTGACAAACTGTTTGGATCATAGATATAACTGCTTTGAGAAACTACTTTGTCGTATCACTTAGTCAATATTTGAATTCATAGCATAATTATCACTTTAAGGGAAATCATCTTGAACATTTCCATGTTTACTTTTTATCTTAAATATTTTCATAATGTTCATCTAAAAGGGCCCTAGGACCACAAGATCTCCAAACTGCTGTGGAAACCTAATCACAATATTTGACTTTTTAGTCTGAGCAACTTTAAGTAAACTGTTGAGTTAAGCTTTATATGAATAATTCATTTATTAAAAGATTCCTGAGGGATTAACAGAATAAATCTTAATGAATTGATACAACAGACACAGCCGTGTTTACAGGGGTGTACAGTAGATACTATGACAAGCAGTGTCCATGCTGGATTAGTTGTACTCCTTACTTAACACATACAGTCGGTGAATAAGAGTTTGTTATACCCATTGAGCTTGTCCCCTTCTCTCAAAATACTAGGACAGCTAGAAAAAACAGGCCAGAAGTGGGTGTGTAGTCCAAACCACTCAGTAGATCCAGTAGACTTTTGCTGTTCTGTGGGGTTTTTAGAAATCCTAATAGTTGGACTCTTTGATGGAATGGTTTGTTTTTTATAAATAACAATGTCTTGCCAATGGTTTGTTTAGAGATTATTTCCATTCTCTGAGCTAAGCATAGCCTATCTTATCAAAAGGAATACAATAAAGGGGCACTGTAGGAAGTGCTGTCCCAAGCGTAGAGTAACACAATCTGCATACCAGAGCCTCTAAGGCAACAACTTCCAAGTGGCCTCCAGCAGAAAGAAAAGTCAAGCACACATCCTGTCTGTTAAAGCATAACATGAAGACTGCCAGGAACCTCCTGTGCGTGGGCGCTATGGGCCCAGCGGTTAGCTCGCGTGCGCCATGTACAGAGGCTGTACAGACAGCCTGTGTCGATTTTTGGTTCCCCCATTTTCAGTCTGTTTCATAAGAAAATAAAATTCTTCACAGGAGCTTTAATTGTGAACAAAAAATGTAATAAGCATAATATCCAAAAACAACAGAACTCAACTGTTCCTTTAATCAGACTTTCACTTATTTGCTCTAAACGCCCACCTGTGTGTGTTTATTTGTGTCTTCATCCTGATCAATCGTTGCCTATTTTAAACCTGATACTTCTTAGTGCAGCACTCATGGTGGCCCCACTGTGCACATAAACATCCCTTGTGACCTTTACTGTAGTTAATAATAGAGATAACATGGCGTATCTGCTGAATTAGAGATTAGCCTGGACCGCTGAGTGTATAGGAAATCAATAGAAGCACTGATTGATGAATTTCCCTATGGAGTGTGTGTAAATATCCTCAGAAAATACTGTAAAAGAAAAGAGCTCGTCTGACCTCTAAGGATACAAACACACTGAACATTTACCAGTTAGGAGCGCGGTGATGGACTCCACCTTGAGCTCACTCACTGCATGTGTGACAGGACTGATGTGTGTGTCCTCCATGACCCATTAATCACTGTGGGAACCAAATCACATGATCCATCTTGTGGCAGTTCCAAGGATTCGAAGCCTTCACTTTCCTAATGTACTGTTACTTGTGTTTGTCATTCTGTTGCAAAAACAAGGCCAGGAAATGTGCAAATAATAGAAATGGGTGATTATCTGAAGGCAAACCACAGAGCAGTATTTCATGTCAGCAGTCAGTCGTTTGTTTTCACTTCCCTTTAGTGTCTCTGTGGTGCGGCTTGTTTCTGTGACTGCTCCTGTCTCCATTGTGTCAGAGCGCTGATTGAAAGCCGGCTCATGGGCACCAATGCTTCTACTTTAGCGCTTTCCTGTTTTGATCCTCCCGGGAGGCCTCCTCAAAATGTATCGCACAGTCACACTGCCCCAGAGTAACCTTGGCCATGGCCGTGTGACCCACAATCCCCTTCTGCTTTTCCTTCCAAAGCAGCAGGAATATGTGAGCCCTGTGGGTACACCTTTGAAAAGAAAATAGACTATATCCTGTTTTGCAGAGAAGCACAGTCCCCGAGACGTTCTGTTCTTAGACTGGAGTTGTACGTATGGATGAGGCTTCTGAGGCTTTTTCTTGGTTTCATTTTGAAGGATTTTAGAGACAATAGTTTCATTCATCCTGCTCATCTGTCCATTCATTCCTTTACTCTGAATTTCTTCAGATGTTAACACACTTCCCACAGCATCAGCCTTGATTTCAGCTCAACCCAGCTCTTTCATGAATACCTACTAACTTAATGATGATGGTCACCATATTATTGATGATGATGATGATGATGGTAATGACGATGGTTTTTGTTTGATAACGATGACTTATAAGATGGTTTCTATACTGATTAGAGCTCTCAAGCACCTGTGTGTCCAATCAGATTCAAAGCTGATCGTTTGCTCTTACTGACATTGTTCCCTTTTTTCTAGATCCTTACTTCTGTTGTACTTACTCTCTGATGTACGTCACTTTGGAGAAAAGCGTCTGCTAAGTGAATTGTAGAATTTCAGACCCAGTTGAGACCCATTTTTCTGACTCCTCACACAAAAACTGTGCCCCTCTCTGCTTCCAAACTTTCTACTCAATCTTTCTACATTTCCCTCTCCCTGCCTTGTCTCTCTCTTCCTCCCCTCAGGCAGGTGAAGCAGCAGTTAATTACTCTCCCACTGCACCGCCACACTGTAGATATCCAGCTTTACTCATGTCAGCACAGACAGACGTGGAGGACAGGCATGTTTGGATTTACTGGAGTGAGGGGAAACAAAGGGGCTCCTGTCCCAGCTCCAGAGTAGAGCTTATAGATAAAGACAGCTGGAATACGTTGTGTGTATTTTTGTTATCTCGATCAGTTTTAGCTAGGTGTTATCAAGACTAGAGGAGAGAAATCTGTAGTTCATCAAGGCCAAAATCCAAAGAGGAAAGGTTAAAATTGTGTAAAAACACAATCCTCAAACCTTGATAGACCCTGAGTGAAGAGGAGAAAAGACAGTTTGTGATTGATCTGTTATGTAAAAAAAAAAAAGCTAATAAGCTGGCAGAAATCTGGTATTGATTTGACATCAGAGCCACATGAGACAAAACCTGACATGTTTACACACTGGACTCAGAGTTTCATGCTTTGGTGCTTCTTGGTTTTCTTGAAATTTCCACATGTTCCTGGAAGTCAGTGAGTCAAAACAACATCCTGAAAACTCACCTCACATGAGACAAAATAAGAGCATGTGTGCTCTCACTGAAATTCAGGGTGACACATCGCAGAGCTTCATTATAACGACTGGGGTGAAGCCCTGGTTTCCTCTTGTCTCTGTTGCCACCTTTCTGTGTGTGTGTGTGTGTGTGTGTGTGTGTGTATGTGTGTGTGTGTGTGTGTGTGTAAGACAGATGTCTGATCTGCACCACATAGCTCCATAGCACCGTCACAGCTCCTGAGGAAACGGTCTGATCTGAGATCTGCCAGGCGAGAAGAACACAGACGTCTGTCGTCAGCGCCACTCAGCCAGCCATGAGCCGTCTCTTTTCAGATTTCATCTTCTACGACTATAAAGTCAGAGGAAGAGCTGAGAACTGAGAGATACACATACCTCAGAGGGATGGAAAAGCTGGATTCAAAGCCTCAGTCCCTCTGCCTCTGTTCCCTAAAATGTCTCTTCTGTATAATTTAGCTGGTTCCAGATTTAGGGCTTGGAGAGACTGTGAGGGCGTTTCTCGGGCGGGTGGGGCTATGCAGAGGGATAATGGTGGAGCGGTGTGGTTGTATGTGGAGCTGCAGATGGAGAAATGCCTTCATTCCCTGGAGGAAGAGGTTGGGCTAGACTGGAAAGGAGGAGAGGTTAGGGCAGCTGCTCTCCAGATGTCAGACCAAAAACTCCTCCTGGGTCGGGGAGGAGGGGGCGGGGGGGGGTGATAGTCTGGTGTATATGTCTGCCATAGTCCACATTTAAGAGCAAATTTTGGATTTCAAACCATTAGATTGTGGCAGACAGTGTATGCTCCTTTTATTTTTCATTGGAGTTGAATCCACTAGGAGCTAAAATAGCTTTTTTTTTTTTTTAATGGGGTTAGGTGAAGGTTAGAGCCCATATCAGTGAGAGTTGAGAGTTAATAGGGTAACTCTGCACCACATGTCCACAAGTAAGCCCCGCTAACGTGTAACGTACATGGATACATCTGTACTAAATGACTTTAACAACCTGCAAGGAACACAAACAAGTGTCAAAGCCACCGCGCTCTAATGGAAACCAGCAGAGGCACCCGGGAAAGGATTAGTCAAGATTTTTTTGTTCCAGACTCTGGGAATCTAAAGATGTTTGTGTGATCGTGTTACTCATTTGCTCAGCGGGGAGCTGTTTCTCTGCATTATTTATGCGTTTAGGTGAAAGGGGTTTTCTGTTCTGTTTTCTGTATTTATGCTTTGTTGAACATAATTAGAGAAGAATGTTAACTTGGAAGGGCAGCAGGACACGAATATCAAACAGTATTTCAGATGCTGGCATGTTTTATGCTAGCTTTCAGCTGTAATGTAAGGATGTGGGATGATTTGTGTTTCTCCTTCCCTGTATGTTTTGGATCAGTTTGGTTGCTTCTGCATTTAGACCATTGATACTTAGAGATATATCCCAGAGCCAAATCCATCAATAACAAATCAAATTCAAAACAAGTGAAATGAAACAAATAGCCTTCAATTTAGTTAAGCACTACTTTAAACAGGACTACTGTAAAATGAATAAAGCGTCAAATAAGACTTTTACAAAGTAAAAAAAAAAGCCTACCAATTAACCCCATCCAACGACTCTACTCTGCTTAACCTAGGGAACATTTAACTTTTTAAAAAAACATTAAGTTTGTATCAATAAAGCCAAAGAAAAACGTAAAACCAGCAACAGCAGAGATCCTTAAAGCTCCTGTTAGAAATGTTTAGCTGCTTATGAAATGGACTGAAATGTATCACAAGTACATGTGTCAAGACAAAATCTGCAGAAGTTGTTGTCACGCTTTTTGTCCACTGGGGCTTTATAGCATCAATATGTAAATAGTTGTGTCAAAGTCGGTCTAACAGTACAATAACTTCAACAGGGAGAATGGCGTCTACCTCATCTCCACATCCTGTTGTCCATCTATAGATAGTGTCTGCCAGATTGATACTGTGCTCACATGGATTTTCAGCCTGAGTTCACAGGGAGATATGGTTTTAAATTTAAAGGCATTTTTGTAAAAAGGTTTAATTTGTATTAAACTTAAATCACTGTCTTCAACCCACAGACCAGGCTAACATATCTTTATGAAACTGATCCCTGGACTCCTCTGAAAGGTCTGTGGTAACATGACTGCCCCCTCATGGACTTATATCACAAAGCTCCTGATGGGTCACATCATAGAGAAGTTCCACAGCCTGCATTTGAAGCTAAACTTAACCAAGTTTCTGTTGGCTGTATATTCTCAGACAGACTGGCAATATGTGCACACTCTGCAAAAGCCACATCCCTACATGTGTAGACATAGTGTAAGTTCCCCATTATTACCTGTTGAACTTGTTAGATTGCTTTGCAGAAATCTTGTGACTTCTGCACACCGCAGCATTCCTCCCTTCCCCCTTGTTGTGTTTACAAAAAGCTTTTGCTAGTTCAGACTTTAATTTAAGGTTTGCCTGGAAACCTCAAGCTTTGCTTTTGGAGCAGGATTGACCAATCTTTCCATCCTGGAATACACACTTTTTGTTTACACTGCAAGTTCTTTGTACGGCACATCATTATTTTATTTTTTTGCACCCATTGTTTGGAGAAGAACACATAAACATGTTTGCAAAGTGGATTTCAGTCCCAGAACACAGTCATACACTCCCTCAGATCCGTCAAAACAAAAAGAAATATCTGTCCCTTTGGCTGAAATAGAGAGTGCTATTTGTGACTGTGTTTAGGATTTAACAACAATCCAGAGGAACTGTGCTTGCTTTAAAAGAGGAAGTTTCAGTGGAGGAAAAGAGGTCTCTGTACTGGTCTCTGATTCCTTTAGAGAGGCTTTGTATCTTTCTGTGAGCTTATTTTAATGAGGCAGACAGAAATACACATGATGGAGTAGATGATCTATTCCTGTAAGCAGATATGAGCATCTTTACCTTTATTGAATTTTGTCTTATTTATCCACATACAGTACAATGTCAGTGCTCTTAGAGGGACAACATGTTTTCCTCGTGACTGGGTGGGTGACTCCAGAGCTCACTGACTCTGGCTGGCACTGCTTTGTTCCAGTCATGTAAACTCTGTGGTACAGATTTGAACTCAGGGAAACACAAGTCAACTCTACACTATGCCTTTCATTCAATCTCTCTGTCTGTATTTTTACAGTTTTAACCCACTAGCTTATTAACAACCCGAGACTTTGTCTTTTTTTTAAATATTGATGTCTTTTCTTTTCTTCTGATGGTTTAAAAGGAAACATTTCAGCTTTAAGTTTACAGTAAGAAGATACAATAACTGTGGAAATCTCTGCAACAATAGCTTCTAAATGCTATTTACAAATAAAGACAAAATGCCCCTAAATTACAGTATACTAAAAGAAGATTCGCTGCAGCAGTCTAAATTAGGGCCCGACCGATATGGATATATCAGATACCGATATATCGACTGATTTTTCTTAGATCTATATTCGATCTGTAGAGATAGATAGATATAAATATACGCATTAACTACATTGATCCCTCAAATGCAATTGTCAAACACTTGTATAAAAGATATTTTGAAGAAACTGAATGAAGACAAGATGGTCACTCAACTGGAAAGTAACTGTGCATGAACGTGTATCACCGCCTGACTCTCTGCAGAGTGATAGTAGTTGTTGTAACTCATACAGCGCCCTCTGCTGGTGACAGAGAACTACTAGTGTAATACAAGGAAACTCAAATGAAATGCTTTTTGACTGGTGAATAAATCTTGTAATATCGGCGTATATCTGCGATCTCAGATAGTCACTGGATAAGCTAATATCGGAAGATAATATCGGCTAGCTGATTAATCGTTTGGGCTCTAGTCTAAACGGTATATGTTACTATTTTTTGTGGCAAAATGATACCAGAAAGAAAACATAATAACTACAGTATAGAAGCTGTAGCATCGTAACTTTATCCAGATGTTTGTTTTTGTTCCTGACATCATCGTTCTTAGTCATAAGTTTCCATTGCAACTCATACTTTCCTCCCTTCTAAAGTAAATCATTTTTATAATAATAATCTTTTATTTTAAAAAAAAGTCAAAAGCAAAAGGTGGTTTTAAGTTTTCAAAGCCTCCAAAGATAAAAAAAGATCAATCTTCTTCATGTTTGATGGCGTCTCTGTCTCTGTTGAGACGTTATTTTCGGAGCGTCTCGTGTTTCTTCTCCTGGTCATCTTTTAATCAGTGGAATTATTTACTTGAACAAGCTTCACTCAGTCATGTGCCTCGTCTTATCTTGCTCTTCTCAGATCTCCACGGATTCTCTGGAACTTGTGTTTTCTTTAAACGAGCCCTTCACGCTTCAAAGCCAAGCCGAGTTTGATTTGTTGTTTTACTCTGAGGATGCATTAATTCATGAAAAGAGAACTTGTACTTGGAAACTTTTGACCCGCAGCTTCCAGACTGTCTTCTCCACGCCAGTGCTTTGAAATCTCACCCAGAGTAAACTCGCCGAGCAAATCGCCCTGACAAGCACTCTGGCCGTTGTTGTGTAAGAGAGCCGACAAAAGGCCTGAGCTGCCTTGGTGAGACACTTTAAGTCCCTTGACCCTGAGGGTACAAATGTGATAATAAGTGTTTCTCTATAGGTCCCCCTTGGCCCTTCTTCAGCAGCTCAGGATTCTTGACTTGTTTTTGCTGCTTCGGTGCTATTTAAAGTTTGCAACCTGCAGTTTTAATTTGGAGCGCACAGTGAATCCTTTGAGAGGTGTTGTTGATGTGAGCGCTGTGGGGCTCTGCCATCTGATCTGCTCTCTCTCTTCAACAGAGCTGTTTCTTTTAGTACTTAGCAACATGTTTCAGAATGTACTAAACAACCAGAGCTTCACCAGAGTTCAAAGGCTGACTTTTCTCTACATATTCCTTTGTGTGTGTGTGTGTGTGCGTGCGTGCGTGCGTGGGTGCATGCGTGCGTGCGTGCGTGCGTGCGTGTGTGCGTGTGTGTGCGTGTGTGTTCATGCAGAGGTGAAAGAGTACATGCCACCCTTTGGGAACCTCAGGGAACACCCGTGTGTGGAGAGCATGAAGGACAGCGTTCTGCGAGACAGAGGACGACCTGAGATCCCCGACAGCTGGATCAACCACACAGTAAGAGACGTCTAACACTAACACAGTTAGTTTTCGTCTTTGACGAGGGCTTCGCGGTGTTTTTGACATGTATCTGTTTAACGGCGTCATTGGTCTGATGAAAGCTGAAAGAAATAGTTAATACTCAAACGCACTGACTCCTCGAGGTTCTGCTTTTAATGATTTAAAACATATAAGAATGAACATTAATGTCATTGAACACGTTTTTTTTTCTTGTGGACCATTAAAGGTTCAACTAGTGCTACAGCAGCGACTAAAGGTTATAGTAATGGGAAGTGAGAGTACAGTAATGATTTGAGTTTCTTTTTTACTTAACCTCTGGTTTTGCTTTGGATTTTTTTAGGGTGATTCACATTTTTCTTACAGAGTCAAACAGGGAACACAATCTGCATCACACCAATAGTTTCACACTGATTCAGTGATCAACAGGTGGAGGTTATACCCCAAGAAACAAAACAAATAGATTAGTCAGACCATTTAACCACAGTATGTTCCTGCTGATGGTCAGGAGATGAGTCCCAATTTACAGTCCAGTTTCCTCTTTATTTATATCATAATATAATAATGATATAATTAAAGTTCATCAGCTCCACAAACTCTCTGAAATAGTCATATTGTTAAATCAGATCCTCTCTAAAAGCTTCAATAAAAGCATTGTGACCGCCATGCTGTTTGGGTTTATTTCAGGACGGTTGTATTAGAATATAAAATATTTAGCAAACTAATAAACTGTTGTATAATTTTGTGGTGTCAAACTTTACATTTCAGTCATTTAAAACTCCCAGGTACACAAACACAGACACATCAACAAACATGATATGAACATGAGGTGATGATGCACTACTCAAGCATCACTGACTGACTGTGTCTGTGCTCCACTGCTCCCTCTGCAGGGCATCCAGATAGTGTGCGCCTCCATAGACGAGTGCTGGGACCACGACCCAGAGGCCCGTCTCACAGCCCAGTGTGTCGCCGAGCGCTTCAACGACATGGAGTATCTGGACAAGCTGTCGGATCGCTCCGACTCAGAGGAGAAGATCCCTGAAGAAATCATTGTGGTGGATGAGAAGTAGAGCTTTACAGAGACATTACAACCAAGTAGCTGGGAAAGGACGCACGTCCAGTGGTCGCATTGCTTTTGCATCTGGTTCGTCTGAGATGTTTTTAAAAGAAGATGAAACTGGAAAATCTGAGATGAAACAGGACTGAGGGCAGATATGGACTAACCAGGATCAACCTGGATATGAACTGACTTCGACTGGATCCTACCATAACCAAACTTCTATTGCACTTTACCAACAGCTATGCACAACAAATTATATATATGAATAGTAAGAACCTTTTTTTAAATCTTTAATCTAAGTACTTTTCAGGTAAAGGAAATAAAGGGACTCTGTAAAGGGAGACATGCACATTTTAAAGACGCTAAAGAACACTAATAACCCTTTGACAGATTTTAGGACTGGATACTTTTATGTCTATGTGTATTTCCTTGGTGGCATTATAAGTTCTTGTGGCATGAAATGGAAAGTATCCACAACAAAGAAATAGAAAACCTATCCATGGCAGGAACCTGCAGGGAAAGCTGATATCAGATCTCAAGGGCTATGAATTGTGAAGTAAAGACAGAAAAACCAGCCTGAAAGGAAAAGTGAACAGAGATATATTCATGTGTGTGTGTGTGTGTGTGTGTGTGTGTATGTGTGTGTGTGTGTGTGTGTGTGTGTGTGTGTGTGTGTGTGTGTGTGTGTGTGTGTGCGTGTGCGTGTGCGTGTGCGTGTGTGTTAAAGAAAGCTGATCCAAATCTTTTTGTCTGTTAAATCAGACAATAAGAGGAATACATTAGTGTATATTTGAATTTAAACTGGAAGCTGCAGCCCGCTGCCTACAGTGTATAATGCTACAAGCTAAACTTCTTTGTTACAGAAAAAGGAAATTCTGATCCAGTGATCAGAAAAAAAGATTCATATCATTTTTGTACAAAAGTGTAAAGCCATAATTAAAGTATTACAGTGTACTGTTTAAATTTGTGGGGTTTTTCATTGTATTCTACTGCTTTAAACTGTTTATTCTCTGCAGAGTGTATGTGGCATGAACAGTAGTGACTGTTGACTTTACATTGTGACCTACTTTCCCATAACAATCTGAACTACTTAACAGCTCTGAGCTATATAATTTCATCTACTCCAACTGTAACAGCTCAAAGATCCACATTACTCTCTGTTATCCCACAAAAATACTGAACATAAAGCTTAGTCATCATTTTGATATTTTTTAAAATGGAGTCTAATGAACTGCCTGCATGGGACGTCAGTTAGCCTAGCTATTAGGTCTGTCGCCATGTGTGGAGACTATTGTCCTCAAAGTGGCCGGCCTGGGTTCAAGTCTGACCCGCAGCTCATTTACCACCAAGTGGCAACCTCGTGTATTGAAAAATGAAGCCAATGCGGAAGTGCAAACAAACTGCAGTTCCTCAAATGTCCACTTGAGGCTGACTGCAAAAGCTGTTCACACCCAATCAGGAAAGCTCATTTCTACATCAGAGATAAACATGTTCACAGCCTCCATGTGTTAAATCTGAAGTACAATATCAAAGCACAAGCATCTCTGTAAAACAGTGAGTGACATGTACAGATTAAAATATCAGGTTTGTTCATATTGATCCATCAGTGTGTAGTCTGAAAGATTCTGTAATACTGTTTACATATGGAGTGAATTAAAACAGGATTTTAGAGATCAATGGAATGACTTAATGGAGTCTGTGTATGAAATGTCCACATTTTAATACACCTTGTGCATTGAAAGTACTGTATGATATTAGTCTTGAAATAGTAGTCTAATAAATTACAGGATGAATCCCCCCCGCACGATGACAAGCTTCACAGAATTATGATCAAGGTTGCGGAGCAGGGAGTTGATGTTCCACTTCTGGCACACTGTGAAGCAAACTTAAATCATGTCTACACAAGTAAAGCATGCATGCCTATAAAACATTTTTCTAGCATGTAAACCTGTATATTCCATTATGCATACTATATGCACAGTGCATGTTGGCACGATCACTCATCCCTGCACTGGAAATGTGTTTCAGTATGGGGACGCAAAGATGCTTCAAAATGTAGCTGTTGTTTTAGGTGTTGTCTTTCAGTGGTGGTAGTGTCGTTGATTGACAGATGAATACTTTGACATTGACAGTGTGTGTGTGTGTGTGTGTGTGTGTGTGTGTGTGTGTGTGTGTGTGTGTGTGTGTGTGTGTGTGTGTGGTGTGTGTGTGTGGTAAGAGGCTCATAAAGCAGGGGGAAACAGTGTTTGGCTGTGAGTGTGAATACAGACAGAATATGATGCTGGCAGACCTTTCATCCTGAGCCCACAGCTGACTCACACTGAAAAATGTTTGTATGTTTGTGGCTCTCTGCCTTCCTGTCTTTGACACTTTTTTGCCTGTTTCTCTGCCAGTCTGTGTGTCTGTTTGTTGAAGGCAGCGGCAGCTTTTTTTCAATCTGTTTTGCAATGCAGCTCAGAAAAAGACTTTACAAGAAAGTAGAGCTATAAAATCAGCAGGCAGAGATTTGAACAATGAAATATTTGTACTGTAGAGGTCTGTGTGCTTTGTGTGGTAATGCAGCATGTCTATGTATCTGTGATACCCTGAAGCATCGCATGCTATAAGAGAATTTCTTCTACATCAAGATTGCGTCTTATTAATTCAGAGAGCATCAATGTTTAAAATGCACGAAGTGTTAAACAAAAGCATTTGGGAACAGTTGGAAAGTGATTTATCAACTACAACAGGCTGCCTTGTCATCTCACGGGGAGACTTCCATTGCCCTTCCCACAGCTTACATGCTCTATTTACATAAACTATGCCAAGGGCCCGCTTGGTGTGGGCAGCACTACAGACAGTGCTGCAGGATATTTAAGCTGATGATAAATTATTTTTATGTTTTGTATTGTGAATGTATTACCACAGGGAGTAACACAAGTCACATGTTTCACAATGAAATAATTGGATGTTAATTTCCTGAAAAGCAGAAAAAGAAGTTAAGGAGATTCATGTTGAAGAAAACGATTTCTCTAAAAGCCTCCAGGAGACAACACAGTTATTCTTTATATAATGGATGGAAACAGTTCATCGCAGGACTCGGAGACAATAGAGTGACTTGAGAGAGGGGGGCTGCATAGTTAGTTACATTTTGTTTAACAGGGTGTGACAAATGTAAATGAATTACGTGTGAATGATGTAGGACACAGAGTCAGTAAACAATAATCCTGTTATTCTTAATCCTGTCTGCATGCCAGTTTTCCTCGCAAATGGATTCAGTCAACTTTGAATTTAGGGAATTGTAGTCACAACAAAGAGAACAAATAAATCAAATTATGTGATGCGTCTTTAAATTGTTTTGTTTTTTTTAACATGTTAAGCATTAATGTAGTCATCAGTATCAGATTTTCTGGTAAGTGTACAAGTCATTTAACTCATTTTTTTCCCATTACTTTAAATGTTCTTGCACAGAAATCTACATTAAAGCTAACACTGAGTTAAAAAATGAAAACAAGAAAGGTTAAACACCAGTTTGAAAAAAATAAACACTTAAATATCTCTCTATATATATAAACAAAATATGTCTATTTAAAATTCAGGAGTTTAACATTACAATAATGGAAATGATGTAATAGTTAATGAGTACTTAATTGCCTTTTCCCATGTTATCTTTCTCATATCTGTGTTTAAATGAAGGCAACATTAAAGGTTGTGCACACCGATTTCCTTTATTGCAAGCAACAGAGCTGCAGAATCTTGCCCACCATGTGCCAAAAACCTGCATTGTATTTTTCAACCAGTAGAGGGTGTAGTGGTTCTACTTGATACTGCCTACAAAGCCCTCACTCGTGCCCTCTGGAAAGCAGCCTGGTTTCAGTGTTGAGGTGCAGCATCCACTGAACTGGTGTTTGTGCTCTCAGGGTAAAAAAAAAAGAATAATAACTGCGCTGTGAAAATGAAGGGTCTGAGCTCAGGATGTGACAGGCCTTTCCATTACTAAGAGTCACACTGAGTCACACTAACCAGTCACCAAACACTGGAGTCATTTTGTATCCTGGTGGGACCTAATTGCATTTAAACAGCTGCTGTTGGCAAGCATAACTTAACATTTCTTCTCCAAGTGATTCCCTCACTCCGCTGCGTCTCTCCCTCTTTTCATTTCTCACAGCACTTTCCATCACTCGCTTTTCACTATGCATCACAGACTTCAGGCTCAGGATACAAGTGTGCAGGTCTCTGTGAGTACTGGTTAAACTGCACACCTGCAGGGGGCTGCATGTATTCCGTCATGATACTTTCTAACCCGATTAACCCTTGGAGTGGGAGGCAGCAGCATGTGGAGCATCTCGCAGACTCATCATTGCTTACCCTTATATATACAAATGCACTCGCTCAACCCTGGTGCTCTTAATAATCAAGAAGGAGGAGAAGTCTCCTGCCAAAGTCACTTGTCATTCCCACATGCTGGTTGCCATGGTAATGTCTCATGCATCAATCAAGGTCTCTGGAAGTGCGTTGGTTGGTTGGTTGGTTGGTTTGTGAGAAGAGAATTAATGAAAGCTTTGAATTCATCTCCTCTACAGGTCAAGTTAACACTTAGACCACTTCCCTCCAGGGGTGTATCCAAGAGGTGGCTCTGAACTTCTGAAACCTGATAGGCTGCCCCAGAGGTCACCTCAGAATTCTTAAATTATGATTGGCTTCTTTTTGGGGGTACTTTATGCAGTTTGAAAAGAATAAGCATGGAGTATGTTGCTAAACATGTATTCATGCCCCACTAATGAATGTGATTGAATAGAATAGAATTACTTTATTGATCCCAAACTGGAAAATTGTGGTGTTACAGCAGCAGTTATCAGAGCAAATAAAACAATATAAGAATAGATACACTTAGAATATAAAAATAAGAATAAGAGATTCATACATCAAGGATTTAACTTAACATTCCTACTGGTTTAAAAATATTAAATACAAAATTTATGAAAGCTTGTCAACTGAATGTAAAAATACTTGCTGGAGGTAAGAGGTGTACGTTTGCAAAAACAGTGATGAAAGTGGTAAATGTGCAATAACAATATAGAGGGTTCTCCAGAGCTGTGCAAATTCGTGGCTGTCCAATAAAAGATATATATGTTAGGATATAAGTGCAGGAGTGTAGATACGTTATCAGCTGACCATATATCTTTGTCACAGGAGTATATTGTTTGTTTGTTTGTTTGTTTGATTGATTGACTGTCTTCGGTCTATTGCCTTGTTGCTTTGTTTCACTGTTGCTGCTGCTACCATTTTAATATTTGTATTATTCTTCATATCTATCAATTATTATACTTAAAATAGCTAGTAGAACACATTTTTTCTTAATCACTGTATTATCTGTTGTTGTTATTGTTGTTGCTCTGTATGTTTGTCTCTCTCTCCTTCTCTCCCTCTATCCAGTCCGGGCAGATGGCTGTTCACCATGAGTCTGGTTCTGTTCAAGGACCAAATGTTGCTAAGTGCCTGCTGATGATGGGTGTGTGCTGAGTGTGTGTGAAAAGAGGCTGATGGAAACAGAATACAAATGTTCTTTGCACTCGTGAAGTCAGTGCCCCAATCATCCTGCAGTCCAAAACAAAAAGTCCAAACACACCCTGTGTCCCCCACCTTGTCATCTGTTAACACATCCTCTTTCTTGTCTTTATGATTTAGATGTTAGCTTCACTTATTACAAAGCAGCCCTTGAGATGTGTAGCCGTGCTATTGGCAGCAGTAGTGGCAGCAGCAACGGGAGCCACATTCTCCAGGAAACTTTAAGGCCCTGAGCCACAATTGGATGCAGCAATTGTCCAGGGGATGATGTGCCTGTTAAGATAAGAGCAGCAGGCAGCCAAGGCCCGGAGACAGAGAGAGGAGTCTGCTGGTGCATTAGGAGCCATTACCCCTGCTGTCCCCTCGCACATCTCTGTCTGATGGCTCTGGACTCCATGGTGCAGATATTGCTTAAATGTCTTATGCCTGAATCCACTAGCAGCCTTTTGTGTAGTTTAAAAGAAGAAAAATCCACCTATCAAGGACAAACACAGCTGTGTCACGAATGGAAGAATGTTTGATCTGAAGGTGTTTTTCGGGGGAAAAAGTGTTTTTGCTTACATTGAACAACACCGGTGCAGAAGTGTTTTCACCTCCAAACAAAAGCAGGAATGATTTCATCAAGAGAGCCAACAAGGGCGATGCCATTCTGCTTAATTCCTTGCATCAATCATCCTCTAGTTGTATGTAGGGTGTGATGATGATTTGGCTCCATATATCCTTTAATCTGCGCTCCACATTAATTTGTCTGTTTAGAAATTATTTACTGATGTGCCAACTAATGTTGCATGAGAGGCCGCAGCGAGCCTGATATGGTGACGTTAATCTCTGCAGTTAAAAAACCTGCTTTGATTTCAGAAACGTTTTCCTCAAAGGTCATCCAAAGTCGATATACGACATGAGAGGCACTTATGATAAAAGTGAAAGGAAACTGAAAACCCTTCATTTACTTTTATCAGTAAATGTTGAGTGTGGGATGACTAGGAATGTGAAAATATGACAAGATGGTGATAATAATAATCCATCCTTTGTATGAAAGTATGACCACACTGCAGTAAATTGCACTTTTTCATTTCAAGAGAAATGATTCAAGCACTGCAGACATTTGGACTTCACAAATCACAGTTGTATTCATAACATTATTAAATGGCTGCATTCCATTCAGATTAGCCAGTTCTCGGGTTCTGGTTTTTGGGCATGCAACATGGCTTACTGGAACATCTCAAAATGTTTACAGTCATAACCTCTGAAGTTTTTTGTTTCTTAGGATATTGAAAGCTCATGTCTTTCCATAGAAAGTTATTAAACGGTTGCATGCTGTTAGCTTTATTAGCCATAACTGCTGTGAATTTTTATATGGGGCTCTAAGGTGACTGACTTTCTTTTAGGGCCAGCCTCTAGTGGCCACTAGAGGGACTGCAGTTTTTAGCACGAAGAAACTGGCTCTTTTTTTTGTAGCTTAGTGTAACTCTGCATGAAGACTTCAAACATAAAATAAAGTGGAAAGCATTAATCAGGCAGAAACAGACATCATCTGTATAAATACATTCCCCAAAGCAGCATCACCTAAGTGATATGTAACAAGTTTGTTTTTGTATGGAGACAAATCTATATAAATGTAACCTTTTTCTGTGAGACAAGGATATTTCAGTATCTGCTGTCCCTCCAGTTTTAATGCCATTTTACCGTCTCATGCCTGTAGCTCCTTATTAGATGAACAGATATGGGAATAATGTTTCTGGTATTATTAAATTCTTTCAAGGAAAGATAGTAATCATATTTCCCATATGTCAGACCGTTTAAGATGCCATTTAGAGTTGGGTTTCTTTTGTCTGCCTTTTTTGTGTGGAATAAAATCATTGTCTCATCTCATATCGATTAAAAAAGGGAAAACATTTTTGTTTTTATGACGTGTGATCTGTTGTTTCCTTCCAGCGCACGACAGAGACATTGTCTGCAACGACATCACCAACGCTAAACAGGCTGCAGAGGGCTGTCTCTGTCTCTGTCTCTCTCTCCTCCACCCTGTCTGGCTTATCGTTGCCCTTCGCCCCCCTCTCTTTCTCTGCCCCCATCTCATCCCATCCAACTATGTTTAACTTTATTTCAGAGGCGTGAATTTTGTTCTGTCAGATGACCGATTGAGGGCGACCAGGAGCAGAATCGATTGGAAATGGCTCGAGCACAGTAATGCATAGTCCTGAGCGAGAGGCCACTTGGTATTGAACCAGCTTTACGGAGCGCTGTGTGGTCCGAGAGAAAGAGAAGAGGAAGCCTTTTAATTTTATGTATTTGCCAATCATACAAAAAGTCCATTAAAACAACAGCCTTTCAGTTGAATACAGAACTACATTGAAGACAGTGAGAAAGTGTCTTTGAATTAAGTTAAACTATCTATCTTCCATTCATGTCTGACCTTGTTATAAACTTTGGACTGACATGCTTTTTGACCGCTGAAGAAGAATGCGATTGAGTTGTCTTGTCCTTCTTGCTGCTGCAGTCATTTTACCACAGAGGGTTTCACTGCTGTCATTAAAGCAACATCAAATAAATCTGTTGTCCCGTGAATCGAGACGGCACCATGTCGGCCACTCAGGAAAGTGAAAGGGGGGGGGGGGGGGGGGGGTCATTTGTCAACCAGAGGCTGCTGGGAAATAGGGTGGCATACTTCAATTGTCAACACGTGAGTCATATTTTCTCTCTCCTGCAGGGATAATGTCAAACCAAGTTCAACTGTTTACGACGTACAACTTCATTTTTCATATCTGAATGGCAGCCCCCCCCC